TTTAGTCGGCGTTAGGGACATTCGGAATTTAAACGTGGATGACACTTTTTTAGTTTTAGGTAGGGATAATAAAAAAGACGGTTATTCCATATATTTTGATATTGAAAATCAAGTTTTTGGGATTGACAATAATCATTCTTTTTTGAGTGAATTAGAAAAAGAATTTTCTAGTTATTGGAATTCTAGTTATTTAAATAAGGGGTCTAGGAGTGACGATTCCCACTATGATTATTCTATGTATGATAATAAATATAGTTGGAATAATTACATCAATAGTTGCATTGACAGTTATCTTCGTTCTCAAATCGGGATTGCTAGTTCTATTTTAAGTGGTAGTGAAAATTACAACGAAAGTTACATTTCTACTTACATTTTGGGTGAAAGTAGAAATAATAGTGAAACCGGGAATTCCAGGCTAAGAACTAGCACGAACGGCAGCGATTTCGCTCTAAGAGAAAATTCTAATGATCTCGGCGTAACTCAAAAATACAAGCATTTGTGGGTTCAATGTGAAATTTGTTATGGATTAAATTATAAGAAATTTTTTAAATCAAAAATGAATATTTGTGAACAATGTGGATATCATTTGAAAATGAGTAGTTCAGATAGAATTGAACTTTCGATTGATCCAGGCACTTGGGATCCTATGGATGAGGAGATGTTCTCTCTGGATCCCATTGACTTTCATTCAGAGGAGGAACCTTATAAAGATCGTATTGATTCTTATCAAAAAAAGACAGGATTAACCGAGGCCATTCAAACCGGCATAGGTCAACTAAACGGCATTCCCGTAGCAATTGGGGTTATGGATTTTCAGTTTATGGGGGGTAGTATGGGATCGGTAGTAGGCGAGAAAATTACTCGTTTAATCGAGTATGCTACCAATCAATTTTTACCTCTTATTCTAGTGTGTGCTTCCGGAGGAGCACGCATGCAAGAAGGAAGTTTGAGCTTGATGCAAATGGCTAAAATTTCTTCCGCTTTATATGATTATCAATCGAATAAAAAGTTAGTTTATGTATCAATTCTTACATCTCCTACGACTGGGGGGGTGACAGCTAGTTTTGGTATGTTGGGGGATATCATTATTGCTGAACCCAACGCCTACATTGCATTTGCAGGTAAAAGAGTAATTGAACAAACATTGAATAAGACAGTACCTGAAGGTTCACAAGCGGCTGAATTTTTATTCCATAAGGGCTTATTCGATCCAATCGTACCACGTAATCTGTTAAAGGGCGTTCTGAGTGAGTTATTTCAGCTCCACGCTTTCTTTCCTTTGAATCATAACTTAAGTAGAACCTTAACTTAAGTTAATAGTTAATTAAATTGAATTCCTTAAATTATTTTCTTTCTGGCGAATAACTATTTAGAATAAGTATTTATTTATCGGAATCAAAGGAAAAATCCGAAGAATGGATTTTTTTTGGTGACATAAGAGGAAATTATGGAAAGAATCATACAGATAATTTTTTTTTTACCGATATCCCTGATTCCTAATTAGGAAACCTCTATGAACAAGATAAAAGAGCGAATTCTTTTTCCGCGAAATTCAATTGGGCAGAGTAGTAAATTAAATAATAAATAAAACGAATTTCCTGTTCTTTTCTTCCTATGTTCTTTTCTTCCTTTCGTATTATATTATAACTATAAACTATAACGAATTTTGGAATAATTTATAAGGGGAAGAAACTCTTTATTAAATTCAAATTATGAAATTCAAATTATAAGACAAGAAAAAGATAATAGAAGAATAACAAACAAGTGGATTATCATACATGTATTTCATGTAGAAAAATGAATAAGTCCATTTAGTTAGTTCTATATTCCTTGCACTTTCTTATATATACTCACTTAGATATACTTAGTATAATTATATAGGAATTCTAATAATTTTAAGAGATCCTTCTATTTAAGATATCTTTCTAACAATATAATATAGCGATAATAGGTAAAAAGATTAATATAACAATAAATAAATAACAGGTACAAATATTAAATCGAGGTGCCCATTCTATGACAATTCTCAACAACTTACCCTCTATTTTTGTGCCTTTAGTGGGCTTAGTATTTCCGGCAATTGCAATGGCTTCTTTATCTCTTCATGTTCAAAAAAACAAGATTTTTTAGATCTGATGGGGGCAAATTTCATCTATTTTTTTTTTTCAAGACTTAGACTTGGATCATAACACAGATATCTATTCAGTATAATATGGTATAACTTGTGGCTTCTTTCAAACAGAAAAGAAAGGGCAGGCGTAAACGTAAATATGATATATGAGTAAACGAGCTATTTGTTGAAAATAAGTCGCGATTGGGGCGGATGCCTGAAATAAATGCAAAGCCCATGTAGCTATATATGTGTAGTATGTGTAGATAGGGGATCATATGAGGGGGCTCCTATTATTTTACTTTTAGATCTAACGAATTGCTTCGAAAGATTCACATCAGAATAGTGCAAGTTGATGAAAGTTCCTTCGGAAACAAAAAAACGTAAAGTAAAATTCATTTTGGCCGGTCTCCCACTTCCAATAAAATGCAACTAGATCTAGTATGAGTTGGCGATCAGAACATATATGGATAGAACTTATAGCGGGGTCTCGAAAAATAAGTAATTTCTGCTGGGCCATTATACTTTTTTTAGGTTCATTGGGGTTTTTATTGATTGGAATTTCCAGTTATCTTGACAGAAATTTGATATCTTTATTCCCGTCTCAGCAAATCATTTTTTTTCCACAAGGGATCGTGATGTCTTTCTATGGGCTCGCCGGTCTGTTTATTAGCTCTTATTTGTGGTGCACAATTTCGTGGAATGTAGGTAGTGGTTATGATCGATTCGATAGAAAAGAAGGAATAGTGTGTATTTTTCGTTGGGGATTTCCAGGAAAAAATCGTCGCATCTTACTACGACTCTTTATGAAAGATATTCAGTCTATCAGAATAGAAGTTAAAGAAGGTTTTTCTGCTCGGCGTGTCCTTTATATGGAAATCAGAGGCCAGGGGGCCATTCCTTTGACTCGTACTGATGAGAATTTGACTCCACGAGAAATTGAGCAAAAAGCAGCGGAATTGGCCTATTTTTTGCGTGTACCAATTGAAGTATTTTGAAATAAACCGAAGCACTTTTCTTAGCAGGAGGTAAAAAACCAAAAAATCCTCTTTTTTTTTTCTATAACATAACTTAACTTAAATTTATTCATAATACTGATGAACCAAAGAAGACGTATATTATATATACGGAATATATACGGAAAACAGAAAAATTCGAAAACGGAACTTTTTTTTATGCGTATGTAAATTCACAAAATTCAAGGACTAACCACTGACTCACAAATAAAAAAGAGGGAATAAATTCGCGGGTTCGAAGCTTTCTATTCTAAATTCTAATATCTAATATTAGAATAGAACTTATGCTTGATAGAAATATTAGATCGTATAGAGTTGACGAATGAAGCGGATTCATTAAAAATTCACAGACGAAAAAATGGAAAAAAAAGCATTCATTCCCCTTCTATATCTTACGTCTATAGTATTTTTGCCCTGGTGGGTCTCTTTTTCATTTAATAAAAGTCTGGGATCTTGGATTATTAATTGGTGGAATACTAGTAAATCCGAAACTTTTTTAAATGATATTCAAGAAAAGAGTATTCTAGAAAAATTAATAGAATTTGAGGAACTCTTCCTGTTGGACGAAATGATAAAGGAATACCCCGAAACACATCTACAAAAGTTTCGTATCGGAATCCACAAAGAAACGATCCAATTGATCAAGATGCACAACGCAGATCGTATAGATACGATTTTGCACTTCTCGACAAATATAATCTGTTTCGTTATTCTAAGTGGTTATTCTTTTTTAGTTAATGAAGAACTTTTTATTCTGAATTCTTGGGTTCAAGAATTCATATATAACTTAAGCGACACGATAAAAGCCCTTTCTATTCTTTTATTAACCGACTTATGTATAGGATTCCATTCACCCCACGGTTGGGAACTAATGATTAGCTCTTTCTACAAGGATTTTGGATTTGCTCATAATGATCAAATTATATCTGGACTTGTTTCCACCTTTCCAGTAATTTTCGATACAATTTTTAAATATTGGATCTTCCGTTATTTAAATCGTGTATCTCCGTCACTTGTAGTGATTTATCATTCAATGAATGACTGAAAAATGATCCACCGATCCAATTAGAATTTTGTTATTTTGTCCATAAGTAAAATAAAATATTCAAAATCTTACTTTTTTTTTTATACACTTATTTTTTCTATACATCCAAGAGATTCGGATTCCTCCTATATTTTAGTATTTTAGTAAAAATTTTTCAGTAACTAGCAGCATCGTGGATAGGGAACTATCCTAGCGACCTACCTAATTTTATTGTAGAAATTTTCTGGATCAACGACTGGACCATGCAAACTAGAAAGACCCTCTCTTGGATAAAGGAAGAGATTACTCGCTCCATTTCCGTATCGCTCATGATATATATAATAACTGGGGCATACATTTCAAATGCATATCCCATTTTTGCACAGCAGGGTTATGAAAATCCGCGCGAAGCAACTGGTCGTATTGTATGCGCGAATTGTCATTTAGCTAATAAGCCCGTGGGTATTGAGGTTCCACAAGCGGTACTTCCTGATACTGTATTTGAAGCAGTTGTTCGAATTCCTTATGATATGCAACTAAAACAAGTTCTTGCTAATGGTAAAAAGGGAGCTTTGAATGTGGGGGCTGTTCTTATTTTACCTGAGGGGTTTGAATTAGCCCCTCCTGATCGTATTTCGCCAGAGATGAAAGAAAAGATAGGTAATCTGTCTTTTCAGAGTTATCGCCCCACTAAAAAAAATATTCTTGTGATAGGTCCCGTTCCTGGTCAAAAATATAGTGAAATCACCTTTCCTATTCTTTCTCCGGACCCTGCTGCTAAGAAGGATGCTCACTTCTTAAAATATCCCATATACGTAGGCGGGAACAGGGGAAGGGGTCAGATTTATCCCGACGGGAGCAAGAGTAACAATACGGTTTATAATGCTACAGCAGCGGGTATAGTAAGCAAAATCATACGAAAAGAAAAAGGGGGGTACGAAATAACTATAACAGATGCGCCAGAGGGGCGTCAAGTGATTGATAGTATCCCCCCAGGACCAGAACTTCTTGTTTCAGAAGGCGAATCCATCAAACTCGATCAACCATTAACAAGTAATCCTAATGTGGGCGGATTTGGTCAGGGAGACGCAGAAATAGTACTTCAAGACCCATTACGTGTCCAAGGCCTTTTGTTCTTCTTGGCATCCGTTATTTTGGCACAAATCTTTTTGGTTCTTAAAAAGAAACAGTTTGAGAAGGTTCAATTGTCCGAAATGAATTTCTAGATTACGAATTTATCAACATCAAGTTCTTATCTTTTCTTAATTTCTTAAAAAGAAGAAAATTTTTGTTGGAAATTCTGTATGATAAAAAAAATTGCGAAAAGACTTTTGTTTTGCTTTTGTTTCTATTTTTTTTTATACCAAATTAGGGGAATTACTTGTACCACATTTCTATATTTAGTATGTATATTGGTAAGAAGACTATTTGACTTTATCCCCTCTTTTCCAATCTAAATTGGAGTGGTGCGATTATGTCACTATTCACAGATTTAGCTGTGATACAATGTATCCATAGCTTTTTTCTATTCTAATAGAATCAAATTCGACTAAATACTGATACTAAGCATAAGATAACTAAGCGGAAAAGAAAAGGTTAAATGAGGGAAACAAAATATTATAGGGGATATTCTTCTATTTGTCTTTTTATTCTTCGACACAAGCAAAGGAATTTTCCACCCCCCCCCTTTGCTTGTGTCGAAATAATAATGATTCTTAATACCATTCATCAAAGATTCCTATTCTTCAAAGAAAGGAAAATTTTTTGAGCAAATAGAACTTCATATCGGATCGACAGAAAAAAAAAAAAAAATAGAAATATATAATATATATATATATTATATGTGATCCAGGAAAAGAAAATTTAGCAATTCCTTCTTTCTTCTAACAGTATTGATAGATAAGATACTATCGAGGAAAAAATATTCTGAATCAATGAAGTTACTTTTTTACAAGCACCACCCAGAAAAAAGTGTAATGGAATTTTTTGAAATATTTAAAATATCAGAAGAATGTAATTCATAAAATGGAATTCATTTTGTCATTTATACGAATAAAGTATTATGATTATTAAGAACTCAGCAGCGCCCCCTTTTTTCTGTCTGATTCGACGGGGATGCCGTTGAGTTCTTACGCTTTCATGTCTACAACTCAGTTCATCCTATTACTACAGGGATGAACCCAAGCCGGAATAGGAGCCATAAAAGAAAATACCTATTAAACCGATCACAGCAATACCAGTTACAGTACCTATTATCCAAAGAGGAATCCTTCCAGTAGTATCGGCCATTTATCCCACTTCCCTCCACATTTAATCAAGTGGTCCTGCTAGAGACATGAACAGTCATAGATAATTATGTGATGATATCCTTCCGACGAGATAAGAGAATTTCTGCTCTTATTTATTATTCTAATTTCCTTTTTTAATTTTTTAATTAAATATTTAATTAAAAATTAAATATTAATTAAAGAATATTAATTAAAAGAAATAAATTAAATATTAATTAAAGAAATAATTAGAAAATAAAACAGCAAGTACAAAAATGAGTAATAACCCCCAGTAAAGACTGGTACGATTCAATTCAACGTTTTGTTCGTTCGGGTTTGATTGTGTCATAGCTTTATAATTAATATTAATTCAGATTAGGTTTATCGTTGGATGAACTGCATTGCTGATATTGACCCCAAAAAAGAAACGGTAGGTACAGCTAGTCCGTGAACAGCAAGCCATCGCACTGTAAAAATTGGATAGGTTCGATCTATAGTCATTGGGCCCTCCTAACTTAAAAAGATTTACTAAATTCATCAAGTTGTTCCAAAGGATCAAAACGGCCAGTTATTAAGGGAATTCCTTGTCGGCTCTCTGTAAAATATTCATTTGGACGAGGGCTTCCAAATACATCATAAGCTAAACCTGTGCTGACGAATAACCAACCTGCAATGAATAGGGAAGGTATAGTAATGCTATGAATGACCCAATATCGAATACTGGTAATAATATCAGCAAAAGAACGTTCTCCTGTGCTTCCAGACATGCGAGCTCCACATATTCTTGTACAGTCAAAAGGGGATCGATTCCGTAAAAGACGAGATCAGTAAATGAAAATTCACTGAAATTCAATCTTTGTGAGATCGTCAATATCGTACCGAGGGTTTCTTTAAAATATACCAAATCAGTATAGCTATCCTTCTTCTGACGCAGCAACGCAACTCCAATCAGTCTCGAAACGAAGTCCTATATAATTTCTTTAGTCTTTTCTTTTTCTTGTCACTGTAGAACCGTGTACCATAGATTAGAGAAAAATGTGAATTTGACGGGTTGTTTTCTAATAATTAATAATAAAAATTCATAAATAAAAATTCATAAAAGAGATTAGCCTATTCCCCGAATTCACAATTCAATTAGATGCGAAATCTAACCCCCTCCCCTTCGTACTTGTAGAATAAGAGTTTTTTGTTGAAATCCTTTTTTTCATTTTAAGGAATTGCTTAGTTGTCCAGAAACAAGTACTGGCAGTAGAGAATATTCGAGAGAACAGCGAAAAAATAATTGTAAGAATCAATATTCTGAATGTGTGTATTCTTGTTCTTGTATTCGATGCAAAAGGTTTTTCTTGATTTTCTTGATACTTAATTAAACTACAAAGAGGTTTTTTTTTTTATTTTTATATGGAAAGAAAAAAAAAGTAAAAGATATTATAAAGAAAAATAGAGGGTTACTTTTCGTTCTAAAATCTAAAAAAAAAAAGGATTTGATACAAATAAATAAATAAACTAAAAGAAGTGATCAACATAGAAATGATTTTCCAATTTTATTCCGTAGCGATTTCCATAGTGATTTGATTCAAAGACAGTTTCTTTGAATGAAGTTATACAACACAGTTTTTCTAATATATTATTATTTTAATATTTCTTTAATATTTCAATTTAGTTTGTTCTTTTATTTCTCAAGAGTTGTCCAATGAATCTTTTGATTCGGAGATAGGATAGGTAGATTTTTAGATGATGAGTTGATTTCTTTTTCTACTTATATCGCTCTTTTTTTTTTGGAGTGTTGTCTATAATCTATAATGATAATGATTGATAAATGATTAATAAATAAAAAACTTTCAATTGGTATTTTTGCTTATCTTCGTATCTTTAAAAAATTGAATTTAGGAAAGTATTTTACAAATATATGGATAAAAAAAAATAGTTTATTTAGCTCCTTCATGCCCACTCTAACTAGTTATTTTGGTTTTCTGTTAGTAGCTTTAACTATAACTTTAGTTCTATTTATTAGTCTGAGCAAGATACGACTTATTTGAAATTAATTGAATGAACAATTCATAAAAAAAAAAAAAAGAATTTTTTTTTTTGCAGTATTCCATTTTCTAGTTCCTTACCGTGTCAATTTCCAATTCTTGGTTATTGAGATTTATGGGCAATATGCATTAATATTTAAGGATAGATATTACCTCCTTTTTCCTCTTTTCAAACAAATTGAAATGATTGAAGTTTTTCTATTTGGAATCGTCTTAGGTCTAATTCCTATTACTTTGGCTGGATTATTCGTAACTGCTTATTTACAATACAGACGTGGTGACCAGTTGGATCTTTGATTAATTAATACCCTTTTTTTTGACCTCCTCCTTTTTTTTATCCACAGGAGGTCAAATTAAGATTGATGTTCAAGCTTTTCCCTAAAATTTTTGACTTAACAAAACAAGAATGGAATCACGCTCTGTAGGATTTGAACCTACGACATTGGGTTTTGGAGACCCATGTTCTACCGAACTGAACTAAGAGCGCTTTTTTATTACAAAAAAGAAAGCTGTAAGTAAAAAGATTCTTTTTTTTTTACTCCACTACATCTTGAATGCCTATACTATCTCATATATAAACTATATTATATATAAATATAATAAATAATAATATGATATTCTTTAATATCATATTAATTTATGATTAGGTATGCCCAATTTTAATTGATCTCAATTGATCCCTTGTTATTGTATTGCTCAGAGGCGAAGTAATAAGTAGGGATGACAGGATTTGAACCCGTGACATTTTGTACCCAAAACAAACGCGCTACCAAGCTGCGCTACATCCCTTTCAATTGGTCTACAATGTCATTGTAGAGAATCCCTGTCTTGTTTTCCACATACTTATTTCATTTCATTTTCTCCATTGAGATACATAACTTATCTTGCCATTTCTTCTTTTTTTTTTTTGTCTCATATCATATAACATATAATACATATAATAATAAACTTATATACATATGAAAAAAAAAATAGGAAACCCGCCATAAATTTCGTGAATGCCCAGACGGAAAGAGACGTATTTTGTTCTTTTAAGAAAAGAAGAGGAAAATCTTATCTATCAAATTATTGTACATTTCTCAATTTGAATTAAGAATTCCGCGTACAAAACAAATGCGAGTGTCCTTTAATTTAACTACATATATACATCTGATCATATATGTATTGCCGTTATGTATTACAATAAAGAATACAGAAGGAGGATTTTTTATGCGAGATCTAAAAACATATCTATCCGTAGCGCCAGTAATAAGTACTCTATGGTTCGGGTCTTTAGCAGGTCTATTGATAGAGATCAATCGTTTTTTCCCGGATGCTTTGACATTCCCTTTTTTTTCATTCTAGTTATTAACACAGGGGGGTGAAGAAACTTAGAGACACAATTAAATATCTCTGACTACTACCCCCTTTTTTCTAATTCGAATAAGTTAGAAAAGAGAAAGAATAAAAGTGGATTCAACCTCAGCCAAACACGGAACTGGGTTCAAACTTCAAGTAAATTTACTTTAATTAAATCTTTAATTAAATTAAGAGAACAGAAGTGGAAATGCGGTTAGGGCAACAGTATCATACAAGAAGTTGAAATAAAATAGAAAGACTGTACTTCTATTCTAATCTAAACTTCTAATCTAAATATACTTCTAATGTAAATATAATTTTTAATCATTGTATTACTTATTTTTACTATTACTATATTGGCGGCAACAAAATCTTTCATAATTTGATTTCGAGTTAGTAACTTGTATTTTTTCCTTCTTTTCTTCTTCGTTTCGGATAGGAAAATAGAAGAGTTGAGTGAATAAAAACCAAAAGGAGGTTCATGGCCAATGGTAAAGACGTCCGAATAAGGGTTATTTTAGAATGTACCAGTTGTGTTCGAAAGAGTGTTAATAAGAAATCAATAGGCATTTCTAGATATATTACTCAAAAGAATCGACACAATAGGCCTAGTCGATTGGAGTTGAGAAAATTCTGTCCCTATTGTTACAAACATACAATTCACGGGGAGATAAAGAAATAGATGGAATTGATCAACTGCGTGTGACTTTTACAAGGAAGATGAAAAATGACATATTGACATATCATATATTAGCATATCATATGTTAATATATATATTTAAATAGAAATAAGCAAAATCCTATTTCTTAATTCGAAATCATTAGCATTTTTGATCCGATCAAAGGAAATAGGATTCTCGAAAAAAGGAATAAAATAAACAAGCCATGGATAAATCCAAGCGACTTTTTCTTAAGCCCAAGCGATCTCTTCGTAGGCGTCTGCCCCCGATTGGATCGGGGGATCGAATTGATTATAGAAACATGAGTTTAATTAGTCGATTTATTAGTGAACAAGGAAAAATATTATCTAGACGGGTGAATAGATTGACTTTAAAACAACAACGATTAATTACCATTGCTATAAAACAAGCTCGTATTTTATCTTCATTACCCTTTCTTAATAATGAAAGACAATTTGAAAAAAAACGAGTTGGTCGCTCGAACTACGGGTCTTAGAACCAGAAAAAAATAGACTTACTCTTTAATTGAATCAAAATTTCAATCCGAACTCAAACGTCGGTTGATGTTTTGTTCGAGAAAAATCCAGGAATACAGATTTGATTGTCGTGTCGTAAAAAAAACGAATTGGGTAAAGTAAATAAAAAAATAAATATTTTTTTATTGAATGTTTTTGTTCAGTTTGACTACTTGATCATATTATGATCATATTTTATCATACTTATTTCTATTCTACCTTCCCGGAATTCATTTTCCAAGTAATTCCATGTCAAAGTCAAACATTCCGAAGGATTCCTTCCAATCTCCTTATTTTATCATGTCATTGGAAATCAGATAAAGGCAATTCCTATTTAATATAGCTAGTTGTGCAAGTATTTTACGATTAAGAAGCAACTGTCTCTTGTACAGATTGTTTATTAACGTACTATAACTATAGGATACTGCATTCTCGCGAATTGCTGCATTTATACGAGTGACCCATAAACACCGAAAATTTCTTTTGTGCCTATCTCTATCCCGATAGGCCGAAAACAAAGCTTTTATTTTTTGTTGAATAATAGTTCGAGTAAGTCTTGAATGAGCCCCACGAAAGCTTGATGTGAATAAACGAATTTTTGTTCTACGCCTCCGAGCTATATATCCTCGTCTAATTCTGGTCATTGAATAAACGAAACTTTGATAAATAACTAATTGATTTCCTTTCTTTCAGTTATTCTTTTTCCCTTTTCTAGAATAACAAAACGGATTCTTCCAATGTATAAAATAATAATTCCAACGGCTTTTGCTACTCTAACCTTCCCAACCACTATTTTTTCTTTTTTTTTTTATAAGCATTTCGCCTTGAAATAAGAAATCTTATTGGTACTAGGTATCAAACAAAAATAACAAAAATATAGTAAATAAAAATAAGTAGTAATTAAGTAGTAAATAGAAATGGATAAATAAATAGTGGGTTCCATCGTTTCTATGGTTATTTCTTAAACGGCGAGGTCCTCTCTATACACCGGAGCCCCTTACTTGATCGAATCAATGCTATTGTTAACTTGTACAGTTTACACTTTTTGGCTCTACCCATGAATTCCTCAGTAGTAGGTCTTTCACAACGAGATCCGTTTTTACAGTAACGGTATTTAATTATGTGGATTAGCTGATTAGCTGACCTTGTTAGTCCGTTCTTGCAAGAGTAGAGGCATCCATTTTCGGCTTTTTAATTTAAATAAGATTTGCCCTGCTTAACAGATAATCATTTGCTACCAATGGGGAATTCTTTCGCATTTTCAATTGAAAATTGAGGTAATTGAATTTGCACCAATAGAAACCATAAATTTGATACACAATAGAAGCATATTCTAGATCTTTTTTTTTTCATTTTAGATAGTGAAGGGGAGTCTTCCATTCTATCCTATTCATCGGTACTGATCACGGATAGTGGAAAAATTCTTTCTTTTGTCCCCACCCACAATCTGAAATCTGAACGAGTCGCACATACACCCTAGTACATGTCCCTCGGCGCTGAGGGCATCCCCCGAGAGCGGGGGATTTGGTGACATTTCTGATTGGCTGTCTTGTGTTTCTAATAAGTTGTTTAATAGTTGGCATGTTGAATCGTATGCATAATGGGCTGGTTTAGATCGATCCTAACCGGATGATTATGAATTCTTTCTATATTCATATTCTATTTTAATATATTTTATTAAAATTAAAAAAATTCAAATTAATAGAATATGAAACCTCGGTAAGAAACTAAAATCTCAAATCGCGATTTGTGTGAAATTCCTGCTATTTTTTATGCAACTGCTACAAGATCAACAATTCCATGAACTTGGGCTTCTGCTGCTGACATAAAAACATCCCTTTCCATGTCTTCAGATACAACCCATAAGGGTTTGCCTGTTCTTTGTGCATAAACCCTTGTGAGGATTTCGCGTAGTTTCAGTAGTTCTTCCGCTTCCAGGACAAATTCTCCTATTTGTGCTTCATAAAAAGCAGCAAAAGGTTGATGGATCATTACCCTGATGATATAAGATAATAAAGGGTTACTTTATCTCGCATAAGAAGGTCACGAGAAGAGATAAAGAATAAAAAAAAAAGATAGAATTGAACAACCGTACAGGCATTGCTTGCGCATTGCATACGGCTCTACAAGAGAATTCACTTTTACCGAAGAAAAATAGAGAGTCTACAAAGCCTAGGTCGGTAAATGATACAATGACCACCCTTTCCTTGGGAGGAATTAAGAAAAACAAAATACTATGGTGGCTCCGTTGCTTTATTTCATCGGTGATTTAGCAATCCCAAAGTTTCTTTTTTTTTTCAAATAAAAAAAAAAGAAAAAAGAATATAATCTTTTTTTTTTGTCCTCTTTCATAATTCATAATAATATAAATAGCATTAAGAACCTTCTGGTGTGAAAACAAAAAAAAAGTTTGCGACACTGAAATAGGCTCCCGATAAAATCGGAACTACCCCTAATATCTCATACTACTCTTTCAATATATAATCTAATGTTAAAACGAAATAAAAAAAATTTTTATATTGAATTCGAAATGCCATGCTATTATTACTTAATATTCATATTTCATATGGCGAAGGCATAGTTTTCTTTTTTCTTTCAAATAAAATAAAAACTCATTGGCGCCAAGCGTGAGGGAATGCTAGACGTTTGGTAATTTTTCCTCCGACCAGGATAAAAGATCCCATTGAAGCGGCTAATCCCATGCATACTGTTTGTACATCTGGTCGCACAAATTGCATAGTATCATAAATAGCTATTCCGGGTATTACCCATCCGCCAGGAGAGTTGATAAACAAATACAAATCTTTGATCTCACTTTCTGTACTGAGATATACCATAAGACCGATAAGTTGATTCGAGATCTCACTCTCAATATCTTGACCTAAAAAAAGTAATCTTTCTCGATAAAGTCGGTTGATTAGGATCAAATTCTATCCCTTAGGAACCGTACATGCACCTTTTGATGCATACGGTTCATCAAAAATCGCGAAAAAAAAGAATCAATATGTAGATCCCATTTAACGAATAACGAAGGGGTTTTTCCTCCATTTTTCAAGAAAGATGGTTTTTTTACCCGTTTACCTTTTTTTACCCGTTTACCTATAAATAAAAAAAATTCATTAAACTTATCAAACTAACTTCTCATTGATGTATTCTTTCATCGGGATCCAATTCAAATCACGATAACATTCTCTTGTTCCTGAGTGGGCTTCTTTAATTCTTTTAGGTTTGTGCTCTACTCCGAGTAAAGATCTGCCCGATTTGGATTTGCACATATAGGGCAAATGCCCCCAATACCGTGTCTTTTTGCTACAACTTCCTTTTTTTTTCAATTCATTTCACGCCTTCCACAAAATATTTGACGTATTTATCAAATTATTCGATTGATTATGATTAGTAGTTTTAAATTACTCCTATTTCTAATTTATAAAATTTATAAATAGAATATGATACAAATAGTAATCATGGATATAGTACTAATTGGGTTTTTCTAAGCGGAGCCTGGATACTTCATTTTATTGGTCCAAACAAGCTAACCATAAATTATTCTAATTGATAATATTAATCTGAATACCTCCAAAGCATAGATCTAATTGCACTTTATTGCCACTTCACGCTCTAATTTTTGGATGATTTAATCAATCCTTCTTTGGTGAAACAGAGGATATCTCGATCGGGGTAGAGAACGGGGAAATCCCATAATGACCCAATGTCTCTGACAAGTCGCACTATACGTCAATCCAATTTGAACTATCCTCTCCGGGATTTCGAAAAGGGACTTTTGGAACACCAATAGGCATTAAATGAAATAAAAAAAAATGAAGTACTCTATTTCACTTTGATGTGAAAGCGTAACAATGAATTTATTGTCTTAATAATATTATATGAATTTATTGTCTTAATAATATTATATTGGATATTGGCTTTTATTTTATTATTTTTTCTATTTTCTTTATTTTTTTGTTTTATTTTATTTGTTATTTGCGCAGATTCGATAAGTTCATAACATAAAAAAAAAAGAAGACAAAATGAATAAAGTAAAATTCTTACGAATAGGCTCTTTGAATGATGAACAAATCCGTATGCATTCGCTCATCTAAAATGGAGTCAACCTCCCATTGCGTATTGGTACTTATCTGGTATAGAATAGATCTGCTTCTCTTTGTTCCTACAAACAGAATTGTGACATTCTGACTAAAATACTAAAAAAAAAATGGAATCCTTTCTCCGAGATAATCCACTGAAAAAGGGAGGTCCATAACATAGTTTTTTCCAGTGCAATAAAGTTACATAGTGTCTATCTTTCGTTGATAAGGGGGTATTCCATGGGTTTGCCTTGGTATCGTGTTCATACCGTCGTATTGAATGATCCCGGTCGTTTGCTGGCTGTCCATATAATGCATACAGCTTTGGTTGCTGGTTGGGCCGGCTCGATGGCTCTATATGAATTAGCAGTTTTTGATCCTTCTGATCCCGTTCTCGATCCAATGTGGAGACAAGGTATGTTCGTTATACCCTTCATGACTCGTTTAGGAATAACCAATTCATGGGGTGGTTGGAGTATTACAGGAGGAACTATAACGAATCCGGGTATTTGGAGTTATGAAGGTGTGGCTGGGGCGCATATTGTGTTTTCTGGCTTGTGCTTCTTGGCAGCTATCTGGCATTGGGTGTATTGGGATCTAGAAATCTTTTGTGATGAACGTACAGGAAAACCTTCTTTAGATTTGCCCAAGATCTTTGGAATTCATTTATTTCTCTCAGGAGTGGCTTGTTTTGGGTTTGGTGCTTTTCATGTAACAGGATTGTATGGTCCTGGAATATGGGTGTCTGATCCTTATGGGCTAACCGGAAAAGTACAATCTGTAAATCCAGCGTGGGGTGTGGAAGGTTTTGATCCTTTTGTTCCGGGAGGAATAGCCTCTCATCATATTGCAGCAGGGACATTGGGCATATTGGCGGGCCTATTCCATCTTAGTGTCCGCCCGCCCCAACGTCTATACAAAGGATTACGTATGGGAAATATTGAAACCGTGCTTTCCAGTAGTATCGCTGCTGTCTTTTTTGCAGCTTTTGTTGTTGCTGGAACTATGTGGTATGGTTCAGCAACTACCCCCATTGAATTATTTGGTCCCACTCGTTATCAATGGGATCAAGGATACTTCCAGCAAGAAATATATCGAAGAGTTGGTACTGGGCTGGCTGAAAATCAAAGCTTATCCGAAGCTTGGTCTAAAATTCCTGAAAAATTAGCTTTTTATGATTACATCGGAAATAATCCGGCAAAGGGTGGATTGTTCAGAGCAGGTTCAATGGATAACGGGGATGGAATAGCTATTGGGTGGTTAGGACATCCTCTATTTAGAGATAAAGAAGGGCGTGAGCTTTTTGTACGTCGTATGCCTACTTTTTTTGAAACATTTCCGGTTGTTTTGGTAGACGGAGACGGAATTGTTAGAGCCGATGTTCCTTTTCGAAGGGCAGAATCGAAGTATAGTGTTGAACAAGTAGGTGTAACTGTTGAGTTCTATGGTGGTGAACTAAATGGAGTCAGTTATAGTGATCCTGCTACTGTGAAAAAATATGCTAGACGCGCACAATTGGGTGAAATTTTTGAATTAGATCGTGCTACTTTGAAATCCGATGGTGTTTTTCGTAGTAGTCCAAGGGGTTGGTTTACTTTTGGACATGCTTCGTTTGCCCTGCTCTTCTTCTTCGGACACATTTGGCATGGCTCTCGAACCTTGTTCAGAGATGTTTTTGCTGGTATTGATCCAGATTTAGACGCTCAGGTGGAATTTGGAACATTCCAAAAACTTGGAGATCCAACTACAAGAAGACAAGTAGTTTGATACAACATTAATTTCTGATTTTTCGTCTCTATTTTCTTTTTTTTTTGACATAGGGTACTGGGGACATCTTGATTTGAATCGCCGCCTTTTCTTTGTCTTGACTCTTGCTCTTTTTTTATCCGGGAACGCTCTAAATAAACAGATATGGAAGCTATAATTGTAAACCACGATTGAATCTATGGAAGCATTAGTTTATACATTCCTCTTAGTATCGACTCTAGGAATAATTTTTTTCGCTATCTTTTTTCGAGAACCGCCTAAAGTTCCAACTAAAAAGGTGAAATGATTTTTCATTATCTTAATTGAAGTAATGAGCCTCCCAATCTTGGGGGGCTCATTACTTCAACTAGTCCCCGTGTTCCTCGAATGGATCTCTTAGTTGTTGAGAGGGTTGCCCAAAAGCAGTATATAAGGCATACCCAGTAAAACTTACAAGTAAACCAGATATAGAGATGGCGACTAGGGTTGCTGTTTCCATTATTATATAATAATAAAAAAATAATAATTTCCAGACCACAATGGATCTATGATAAGATCATTTATTTACAACGGAATGGTATACAAAGTCAACAGATCTCAGTTAATACAAAAAAGGATTTATGGCTACACAAAGCGTTGAGGGGAGTTCTAGATCTGGTCCAAGACGAACTATTGTAGGGGAT